CGATTCTCTGACTCTTCCTTCTCTTTTTCTTTTTCTTTTTCATATATATATTGTTTTTTCTCATTTCAGAACGTGGACTTGTGACGTGAATGGAGCATGAAAAGGGAGAAAATGAAACAGGAGGAGGAAAAGGGTTCCAGGAGACGGACACGGATGAAGGCCACCCGACAGTTGAGAAAAGCGAGATGCACGCCGTTTTATCCGTTTCAGAAATATCATTACCGGTGATGAATTCATGTTTGGAGGGGTTTTGTGAAGGGAGTTCGTTTACCGGAGATTCCTTCTCCTTCAGTCGGGATGAAAGCCTAGGAAATTTGACCACCTCAACGAGGAGAGCTGAAAATGGCATCACTGTTGTGGATGCAATGCAGCACGAGAAGCATGTCCTCTATCCCATTGTAATGCTTTATGAAGATCATACATGTGAGGTCTGGCTTTGTTATTCCTCATGGATGAATGATCGTTTGTTGTGCGTGGGATACTACCATGGTCGAGTGTTTTTTTTGGGTGAACACTTCCACAAATACGCGAAAGCCACTCGTTCGATCAACAAGAAAAATGGCATTTGCAAGTGTTTTGGAATGAGTGCAGTTTGGGAGAGTGGGAGAGTTCGCGTAGTACGGAATCCGATGGGGATGGAGGAAAATCATGTTGTTCTAAAGAGTTTGAAGAGGGCGATAGCTCTTCTTGGAACTCAGCTACGGCATTATATCCTGTCAAAAGCAGGCGATCCATGCAATTCACTTAATGTGCTTATTATTGACTTTGTCGCAGGGGCAACACTTTCGCAGCTGATGGATTGTTTATCATCACACCTTCCAGAATTTGTAACATGTCGCTGGGGAGTGGAAAGGAAATGGCCTCTTAGAAATTATTTGCTACGCCACTTACTTAGGGGGGTTCTAAAGGCAGTGTTGGAGCTTCATGCCTGTGGTGTGGGGCATGGAAGTTTAAGACCAGAACTGATATTTGTTACTCCCGATTTAAATGTAATTTTACTCGCCGCGGAATTCTTTAATTCGTTTGAAGATTTGGAGTGGCTACGCTGGTGCTCACCGGAGGTTGCCCTCACGGGTGTGAAGGGCGATTTAAATGGCGCTAAAAGACGGGCACATGATATATGGGCGTTTGGTTGCCTGGCCTTCTACTTGGCGACTTATAGGAGGCCTTTCCACGAGAAGGATGACGTGACATCTTTGATGTCGGAACTAAAAATGCTCCACTTTGAGGCATCAAAGGAAAGAAACGGGTTGCGTAGCCATGATGAGCCTGAGCTTGCGGGACGTAAGGGGCATTTTTTGGATTTGAAAAAAGTCGAGGATGTGAAATTGCGGGATTTGATTGAGCAATGCACCCGATTGGTTTGTACCGAGCGGCTAGACATCTATGCGGTTGAAAATCACCCTTTTTTCAAGGAAGAGGACGACGAACGGTTGAGCCACTTCAGACAAAAAGAGATCCAAATTTTTTTGGAGCGCGCAAGACACTCTGCCCCCGTGAGTGGGGAAAAGGGGGATTCCTCGTTTTTGTTGGACGCTCTCCGGCAGGAAGGGGCCCATGAGGTTGACCGGTACAATTTCTATGGGGAAGAAATTGACGAGTTTCTGCTAAGCTTCAGCGTGAGGGATATACTGCTTTGGCGCATTGCACTTGGCCTCCAACGCAAGCAGCACACCCCTGAAATGGCTGATCTTTTGGGTATTCGTTCGATTTCGCCCACGGTCTTGCCCAGGTCTGTTCGAGAGGGAAAAAATAGTGCAGCGCTGACGCTTTTGTACGGAATTTCAACTGTGACTGCATCAGTGGTGGGGGCGGCGCTTCAAATTAGTCAAGATTTTCACATTTTACTTGTTGATTCTTTTACGTCTGTGAATGACGATGAAGACTTGTTTCGCGTCCTCCTGGAGTTTGCACGTCGAAAGTCCCTTCGGGACGAATCTCTATGCAGCCGCAGCAATACCCCCTCCTCAGTGAGCATGACGAATCCGCTCATTCTCAACGGAAGTAGGGACACTGACCGCTCATTGTCCGATGAAACCGGCGATAAGGAAGAGGATGTGCATAAAACATCTGTGATCCTTCCTTTTACTCCCGGTGAAAATCCAACAGTGCAGGCCGACTCATTGGCGCCGTCCTCGAGCCGAGACAATGTCGAGGATAAACTTGTTTTGTCATCAAAGGAGGGAGTGTTTTCTCCAAATGCGTGTCTCTCGGGTACCTCAACAATGAGCAACGATGATAATGAAAACATCATTGAAAGAAATTTATTGCATGATGAGGGGAATATGCTTCAGGAACCATGCGTTACCGTAGAGGGGACGTATCATTCGGAGAGCCATGGCGCCGATTCAAGAAGACGGCTGCTGTTACATCGTAGCAAACGTTTGATTTTTATTTTTTTCTTTACAGTGCTTGCACTGGCTGTTATCATTTCTGTTATTTTTTCTCTACTGTTGGGTTAGTCATGGGTATCATTGCGTATTCTCGCGGCTTCCCGGAGGCACTTTTTTGTTTTGTATATATATATATATATCCAAAGTTATTTTTACGGAAGAGGAATGATGCAGTTGCAAGTGTTCGGAATATATACATATATATTGTTGTTGTTGTTGTTGTTGGATTAGTTTTGTTTTGCCGCCATTTCCTCCAATATGATTGCGAAAACCTGCAGCGGCATATGTCTCTTTATGTACTTAGTATCTTCATGTGAAGTTATAAAGCGTGTATGATTCATAGATTTGTTGTTTGTTTGTTTGTTTGTTTGTTTTTCATTCTTGGCTCTTTGAAGCGTTTGATATTTATTGCTTTGTTATTTCTTGCGTATTTTTTATTTTTTCCTATCTGAGTCGTTGGGTGGCGTCGGTCTGCAAAGCGAGGCAGCGCTATGACCCACATGAGTGTTGAAACGGCATCATGGAATTGTTTTTCTACGTTCCGGCAGGAATGACAAGGAAGACACAGGAATTCGGTCGAGGCGTGCGTTGTTTTATTTACCATCCGTTTATGTGGGAACTTTCTTTTTTTTCTTTTTTTTTAAGGTTTTTTTTTTTTTTTTTGGTGCCTAAAGGAGGGGGTTCGGGAAGAACATGTCGAAGCAAAAGAAGGAAGTGGCGATTAACCTTGACGAGGTGGATGAACAGACGGGGTATAAATCCGCCGAACTGTTTGTGTGGCTGAAGTTTGATGAGACGTATCTTCAGAAGCCCGAGGACGATCGTGAGGCGGACGTGGATGCGTGGGTGGATGCCTTCTGCGAGCAGATGGAGGAAGAAGGAGTGAATTATGACCGCAACTTTGTTCGTTCTGTCTGTGTGCTGGGCATTTACGCTGGTGCCCGCGACGAGTTTCAGCAGCGCATGGGAAGTGGAAAGGCGGTTTATCCCAACGGGGATCGCTATGACGGGGAGTTTTTTGAGGGAAAGAAGCACGGCACGGGGCGCTACTGCTTTGTCAGTCGGGGAAAGAGCGAGTGCGACCGGATTGTTGAGAAGGAGATGCAAAAGTTGGGAGGTGCGGTGCCGGACGAGCAGTTCATCACAAACGTTGCTGAAAAGTACAAAATAAGTCGTCAAATTGTCTCGTGGATTATTGAGTATGGGGTGTATCCCTGCTACCATGGTGACTACGTTCGTGGCGTAAGAACCGGACAAGGGCTGATGAAGAACAAGGACGGTACCGTTTACAAGGGGGATTTTCTGGCGAATAAACGCCATGGCCAGGGAATGTTCTATTATTTGAATGGCGACATATTTTCAGGAACGTGGAGGAATGGGCTGAAGCATGGCTATGGAACATATCACTTTGCAGGAGGCAGTGAGTACCGCGGATCTTGGGTGGACGGTGTCTTCACACAAGGTCAATGGATTTTCCCGGATGGCACGTATTACGAGGGGTTGTTTAACAAGAAGAACCGACCTTGCGATGATGCTGCGTCCATGCACTTTCCGAGTATCAAAATGGCCCAGTCTGGTGTTTTTAAACGTGGTGTTTGGGCACCCTCTAGTGCTCTTCAAGTTTGCGAGGAAACACCTGTGGATGGCATGTCATGGGTAGATTGAGTTCTTGATAGAGATGTATCTTTTTTATGTATATCAGGAGGATTGCTCCTCCTTCCTCGCCTGCTGGGTGCCTCATTTCTACAAGAGAGTGAGAAGGAAAAGAATAATTATAAAGAAAGAGGGATGGCACGAGTGGGCATTCCAATCCGCTGACTTTACTGCCGTGTTGGTTTCTTATTTTTTTTTATTTTCTGCTTTTGTACCTTTTTTTCTTCTTATTGCGCCTTTGAAAAATGTAATAAAAACAAACAAAAACAACAACACAAAAGGGAAAAAAATTAGAGATTTCACGGGTTTTAATCAAAAATGGTGTACACACGCTGGAAGTGTGACCGGCTGCCGGTCTTTCAGTTGAAGTTGTTTTCACAGGAGTACCCACTCCATACAACCGTTGGAATTCTGTGCATGATGTTTCTTTGGAAGCACATGGGGCACTGCTCGGAGGAAACAGAGCGCAAGCACGGTTGGTGGGCGGGATACCCGTACTGGCGTGACCCCATTGCCCGCAGGAATGAGGCCAAATATAAGCAACTGATTAACAAGAACGATGTGGACATCACAGACCCAAAGTGGACTGGATGTTCTTTTGAGCAGCTTGAGAAGCTAAAGGAACTGATTTAAGGCATAGTGGAATGGTGGATGGTTGTGGGGCTTTTTTCTTCCTTTTTCTTTTACTGTTTCTCTGTGCGGCTGGCGCTTTTTTCTTTTAGTTGTTTTTGTTTTGTTTTTCCCTCGTAAAGGGGATTAGTGGATACCTACAATTTAACCCGTAAAGGATATGAAGTGAAAGTGGGGGAAAAAAGGAGTGATGAATTTATTGCCGCCTTTCTTTCCATCTCACCGCGACACACACACACACACACACATAAGGCACATGTATGTATGTATCGCTCTGCTCGTGCGTGTGCGTGTATGTGTCTGCCGCTTTATGTTTACTCGGTTTTTTCCTTTGACTTTTTTTTTTTATTTGATTCTTTTTTTTTTTTTTTTTTGCCCCTTGATAGCCTTACTCTTTAGGAATATTTTGTCCTCATCCTCCTTTTTTCTTCGTTTCGTGTTTTGAAGGTTGCGCTGGGTGCAGTACGCGTGAAGGGAGGAACAAATAAAACACATTGAGAAGAGCCTTGCCAACCCTTCAAAAGGGGAGAGAGGAAAAGAAGGAAAAAAAAAAAAAAAAAGAATTAAATTAAATTTATTAACACAAATATTCTTTTTTTCTTTAAATTTTCTTTTATTTGTTTGTTGCTGTAGAGAGGTGGGAGGCTGCTCCTAGATGACACGACGATTGGCTTTTTGTTTCTTCCTGCTATTGCTGGGGGTCGCGATGCCGGGGAACGGCAGGAAACTGGCACCGCTGAGGGAAGTCTTTCCTTTGCATGGAAGGACCGTTGTGGATCTCAGAGTACGCGCGTCAGAGGTGTCTGTTCCTTTGCGTGGCTACGGCGAGGGGGCGGTGTTCACGTACACGGGACGGTTGTACGTTTACGATGACGTTGCCTCCGTTCCAGGCCCTGTTATTCACGTCAAACCCGGGGGGAAACTGGTCATGCGAATGTTCAATGATTTGGGTGGGCAGACGTATGCGCACGGTGAGGATGACTTTTACAATTTCCACGAGGTCAATACCACAAATGTTCATTTCCACGGCGTGCATGGGGATCCCAGAGTGGACGACGTCTTTAAGACAGCGTCCCCGGGACATTTTTTGAAATACGAATTGGACATACCGAAGAAACACCTTCCTGGTTTTCATTGGTATCACACCCACGCCCACGGCTCTGCATATCTTTTACTCATGGGAGGATTGTTTGGGCCTTTTATTATAGACTCAACGACAAATGACCCGATCGCTTCATTGCCTTCATTTGTTTTGATGGTGCATTTGTATCGCTTAGGCAAATCAAACCTTTGCGATGGAATGACAATGGATGAAGTGGATATCGCCATTAAAACAAACATGTCATCGAGACCCCGTATTTTGAGTAAAAGTGGGAAGGTCCTACCAATGCCTTTAGACTTGTTTCTCGTAAACGGACAACATAAACCGACTATGAACATCAATCGTGGAGAAAAGACGCTTCTTCGTTTGGCTTTTGCGGCTGGATCGTGTCATTTGAACATCAGCTTTCCGAAGGAGTGCCGTTTCCACGTTGCTGCCATTGATGGTGTTCCATTGAAGTGTACACGTGAGTTGAAGGATAACTGGTTATACTTCACAACTGCTACCCGTTACGATGTGGTGGCGGTATGTGAAGATGATGAAAAGCGGGAGTTACCGGTGATTTCTGGAAGGTTGGAGGAACCGATTTTTTATATAGCAGTCCGCTCACATCGATCAAAGCAACGTCGTCCTCATGGAATTACGTTTCCTCTTTGTTTTCCATTAACTAATGTAAGCTACTTAACTGTGGACAATCCAACCATGTGGCGCGACATCTCTTTTTCCCAGGAACAAATTCCAACGCCAAGACCGTATTATGTCATTGGGTACGGCACAGATTGCTCTTCGCCTGTTCATTCTGAAACCTGCTTTCGTGAGCATTTCTCAGGAGAGAAGGGGGAGTTACGTGAAAACTATCATGGATTTGTTGTACCTCTTGGTGCTACTGTTGAGGCTCGTGTGTTTGGGGACCCCACGGATATCGTGCCGCATCCACTTCACTTACATGTGAATCATTTTGTATTTGTAAGTTTTACTCCTCGCAAGGGAGGCCTACACGAGAACTTTTCAATGTCTGATTTTGGAGTGTTCTCGGGGGAGTTGCGTGATACAATTCCTATACTCGACGGTGAAACTATTATTCGTTGGCGTGCGGCAACGTACACGGGGGAGGTGGTGTATCACTGCCACATTCTCACCCACGAGGATCTTGGCATGATGACCTCCTACTTAGTCTACTCCAGCGCAGCCGGAAAGACTCGCACGGAGACTGTGGTTGCCGCAGATAAAATTGTGGGTGAGGGTCACGCAGGCCGATTTTTTTTTCTTGTGCTTGCCATTATGTTTCTTCTTTGTTGTTTGCTCTGCGGTCTTTACAAGTGGTGGCGCTCTAACCCGCCACATCCAAGCAATTGGGCTCGCAGTTGCAGAGAATTTTTAGCCGCATTCCCCTACCGTGGCGACGAGGGTACTGAGGCGGAACTTCAGCCCCTGAGGAGGATTCACTGACCGTGACGGCTCGCACTGAGTGTTATTATTACGCTTTTTTTTTTTTTTGTGTGTGTGTGTGAATATCTATCTGTATGTATCTCTCTTTCTCTCTCTCTCTGTATATATATATGGTGGGTGAAGCAGGGGAGGAGTGGGTGGGTTTTTTTTTATTGGGATTTTATTTTTTTTTTGTTTGTGTGTGTCTGGGGGGGAGCTTTCTTCAGCTTTTGTGATGTTGCCTTTGGGGTGACCGCATCGTATGTGGTGGTTATGAGTGGATGCTGCTTTTTGCCGAGGTGTTTTTCTCAAATCACGTTGGCTAGAGCTTTCCTTCTCCCGCTGCTATTTCTTATCCATGCACTTGTGCATTAACGATTCCTTTTCCCAGGAAAGAGGATTCTCCCTGTTTAAAATGGAATTAAAATAAGAGTGAAACTGAACGTGCGGAAAAAGAAAGTAGAAAAAAAAAAAAAAAAGGAGAGTGACGCCCAGCCGGGATATGCAGTGAAAATGCAACGGCGTCTTCGTTGTGAGCGCCCACGTCTTTATTTGTCAGTGACGTTTTCAATTCCTTTTTTTTTCTTTTTTTTCTTTTTTTGAGGTGCTTTTTTGTGTGTGTGTGTCTTTGGCCTCACTTCCCCCACCTGCTGAAGCCGAAACGGGTGGTGTCTTTACTGATTGAGTGCTTGACATCTTTTGCGGCCCTCCCATGGAAATTCTCTTAATGCTCTGTTACAATTGCCAGACCTCAAGGAAGAGGGGTCTTTTCGGTTACAAAAAGGGAACCGGAGAATATTGTTCATCAGAGCCCAAAGAAACAAAAAGTAGGTGACTAGCATACTTTATTTTTTATTTATATTCACACATGATTCAAACTGAGAGCGAGCAACCACTCATTTCTCGTGCCAATGAGGGGGGTCGCTTTCCCTGCTGTATTACTCTAGAGGACATCAGTGTGGATGTCTGCACCAACTTCACCTCTGCTCTCTCGTCATGCGTGGAAACCCCATGCTGGGATGAAATGCGTGTGGTCTTTTTTAGGGATGGTGTCACTCAGACCACACGGTGGCTCTCTCCTGCAGTGGCAATGCATCAGATGACGATTTCAAGCGCCAAAAGAATTGTTATCGACAAAGGACCTTCTGAAAGGCTGCCTGGTATCACTGAGGTGAAGTGGTCTCCCATCAATACAGCGGCCTACACGGTATACTTTAGGTTTCTTGATAAGGATGCCGATCACTCGCTCGATCCGGGATATGAACGCCCAGTGTTTTCCACAAACCTCAAGTATTTGGATTCATACAACACGGATGACGCCGACCGACTTCGTTCAAAGGTATCACCAAAGATAATTCACCCTTTTTATTTTAGCGTCGAGTGTCGTAATCTCAACAGATCCTTTGTATACACCGGAGGTGAAGGAGAGCGTCCTACCAGTGCAAAGGTTGAGGCAATGTCTGCCTACTATTCCCGGTGCGTGTCGAAGATATCGACTGTGTTTAGGAAAGCTTCTATCAAGCTTTCTTCAGGATCCACCGAAGGAAGCCGTTCTGTTGAGGGAGAAGCTGCAGATCGTCCTCAGACGAAGGGACATGGCCATTGCAGCAATTATTCCTCTTCATTTTACGTGTGTGATAAGTATGGGGTGGACCCTAGTGAAGCGTACAACGCTCCCGGGGGAAGGCGATGTATTTCATTGCCACTTATTCCTTCGCATTCGAATTACCCCAAAACAAAACAGGCGTTCCTCTTACGCTTCACCTCACCATGGTGGCTCATCTTAACGACCCCTTGATGCGCCCTGTACGGGATTATCATTCGATGGTGGTTTTGGTCGATCAAGTGATTTTAGATGTCATGAATGTCGAGGCGGAGACGGGAGGGAAGGATGCTTCTTCTGCCAGACGAGTAGAGGCGTATGGCTTTGGTTTGACATCGAATACTTCCCAAACCGCAGAACTACGGTTTTCTTCTCCGTTCTTGGCTCCGCCCGACATTCCATTAAATGAAGAGGGGGGAGTACGACTGGTGGACTTCTCCGTTTTACATCCCTCACAAAATGAGCGTGAATTAACGGCATTGGATCTGGCGAAGAACCCGACGTCCATATGTATTGTCTCTTCTGGATGCAAGGTGGGAAACAAGAGGCGCATTGGAAACCGTCCCGTGCTGGTGTCTCGATTTAAGACGGGGGTCGATGGTCTTTGCAAATCTTCATACAAGTCTCGGTTGGTAATGGGATTGATTCGTCGCTACAATACTGGTGAGGTGGAGGTGGAGCGATGCTCGCATCCTGTCGACCTTGCTTCCATCCTTAACCAGGAGGAATATTCGGACAAAATCGGAGCCATGATTTTCTCCCGGGGAGAGTATATGAGTTTCAGACTTAGAAGGCGCTGCTTTGCGGAACCGGAGCGATACCGCACGGAACTACTCATGCCGTATGATTACGACAACAGCGGTGTAGAAATCAGTGATGTTGTGGACGATGACGATATCGTCATGTTCTCTGCGCAAGGTACCAGAATATTACATAAAGAAAATGCCAGCGCATCTGGCGGTGGCGACGATGTTCCCAACGGTGATGGCGGTCGCCCGGATGAGAGTCAGATGACTCCAAAAGCCGCCACTCCCACGGGTATCACGGGGCAATTGGTGGAGAAGCCGATGCCACGTGTAACGGATAGTGTGATGACCTCTTACAACCATGAATATCAAGGTTATCTCCCCACACAGAAGAACGAGAAGGAGGCGGCAACGGGTTCATCAAATCGTTTTATTATAGGGGAGCCACAGCGGGATGGGGATTCACCCGTCGTAAAAACTTCTCGCGACATTCATGCAGAGGACTCTGAGTCTTTGCGGGGTAAAGGGAATGCGGAGGGGGCTGAATCAAATGCGGATGGTCGAGTGTCTTCACGCGACGTCTCCTTCGCAAGGGAAACCGGCATGGCGGTTGAAACGGGACAAACTAATCCTTTTGAGGAGACGACTAGCAATTTTTTTTTTGATTCCGATGCCCCCAAAGAGGGGGCAGCGCATGGAAGTTTGTCACTTGTCACTTTTGAATTAAATGCTATGGGAGAGATAAATGAAAATGACGATACCCAATGGGCCCTGCAAGTAGAGCCGTATATATCAGAGACCATTGATGCCCCACGCGCAACAGAGAACACACGTGTTTACTGGTGGGAGAGCTAACATGCTTGAGGGATTTTAATGGTGCCATTGCAGTTCTTTTTTTTTTTTTTTTTGCCTGTCTTTAACTGCTAGCGTTGCCATTATTTTATTATTATCAATTATTATTATTATTATTATTATTCTTAACGCTTCTTTTGGCATTTACCATAGTATATGCAGCACTCATGCGAAGTGTTGGCGCTCCAACATGGATTTTTTCCACGACCGAACCCAAAGACATTTGCCATGGAAAGAGTGAGTGTGCGAAAGGGAGGGAAAAGTGGCCCGCAGTGCAGACACTTAAATTGTAGCGAATAAACATTGAAAATAAATGCATACACACACGCAATAATAATAATAATAATAATAATAATAATAATAATAATAATAATAATAATAATAATAATAATAATAATTGATATCTTTTTTTTTTTGTTATTTTTGCTTTTTTTTTTGTTTTATCCAGTCGTATGCGTGCGCGTATGTGGGATGTTTCTAATTTTTTTTTTTTTTTTTTTACGTTTTTCCTTCATGTTTTGTTGAGTAGATCAGCCTTTTTCATGTTCCGTGGTATTTTGGGCGGGGCAGGCCGACAGTGGCGTTCCGAACGTAGGCTCGCGACCGTAATGAACGCCACGAGTAGGAATCCCGCGCAGAAGTTGACGTACCGCATCAGTAGAACAAATTTGGCAAAACAGAGCGCTGTGCGAATGAAAGAGGATGCAAAGCGAAGGCAGAAAAGTGCCGTGGCGCAAAGTGTCAGCCGCGGTGATCTTTCTCATGCCGATGCGGAGTTTTTGCGCCATCAGCAGGATGAGGCGCTTGCAGAGCATGACGCTCGTGTGAGAGCCTTTACGAAGGATACAGGCAGTGCGCATCATCATCGTCATGCTCCAAATCCCCCGCAGCATTTGGAGTACGACAGTGTGGATGCGACTAGTGGTCATAGTATAATTCAACAGCGCTTTGATGCGTTGGTGCACGACGCGGTGCTAAAGTATGGACCTCCGCTTCCTGCTGAATTTGTCTCAGAAAATGACATTGTGTCGCCATTTGGCTCTAAGGAAGATTTTAACGCATCCTCGCCTTTTCAGGGAGAGAATCCTGATGCTCACTACTTTTATGATGAGGTGCAAATTAGACCTCAGGAGCTGTTTGGTATCATTCGAAAGTTGGACCCTTCGTTCAGTGTACGTACACATGCCGACGGTGTCCCTTTCTCGTTGCTCATCAAGAACTGTTTGTATTTTAGGGTGTGGGGAGGGAAGGTGCACTTTATGCGCTGCCTTAAGCGTGTGCCGTTGCGCACGGGTGAAGCGGGGGAAGATGATGAAGAGATGCGTGGAGAAGTAACGACTACACTCTCAAAGTACAAGATGAGGGAGTCCCCGTCGTTCGATGGCCTTCGTCAAGGTCCCCAGCCTTGGCTGTATAATTATCGCATGATGTGATGGAACCGAGCCTCTCTTTCTTTTTTTTATGTTGACTTTTTCTGTTGTTGTTGTTTTTTTTATTATTGTTGTTGTTGTTGCATTACTTTAATTAGATGTGAATGCGTGAAGGAATGCACCGCAAACCCACTTTGTGAAGATGCCGGTTAGTTTGCTTCTCTCCTTTTGGACTATTATTATTGGTTTTTTTATTTTCTCTTTTACTTTTTTCTTTACCCCTTTTAGTTTATCAGATTCATCTGTTTTTATGGATCCTTAAGGGCTCATAGAGAGCAACCGAGAGAAGAACTGAAGTCACGCGTGGGATTTTTTTCTTTAGTCGCAATGAAGGAGGAGGGGAAGGAAGCGACATGTACTTTGAATGCAAACGCACGTCACGTGGTGGACGGCATATCTGCGCTACTCAAACCTGCTCTTGGTGTTGAGCACATTGCACGGAGCGTTCTTCTGCAGCAGCAACGCCTTCTTCGGGAAATTGAGTCTCTAAATGATGAGTTGGAGAATAACCGAACTCATTTTGAAACCCTTAACGAGGCCCAGCGAGAGAAATTAGATATCATTAGCGCCAAGATTGCGCGATGTCGCTCAAGTGCAGCGCTTTTATTTCGACGACTCTCAGAAATAAAGGAAAGACTTTTACGGGTGCATGACGTGATCTTGCAGCGGAGACTGAAGAAGCCACTAGAAAAAGTGGCGCCGGGGGAGGAGCCAGTTACCACTCCCTCCGAACAGGGTAACGTTGCTGTGGTTCTTTTCGCTACGGAGGAAGTGGAGGCTTCCAGCCAACTCAACAGACACCCCGAGGACGTGGACAACCAACATGATGAGGCAGTTCTTCCTGCCGAGGGGGAGGCACATGATGAGTAATATATCTATATCTATATGCATAAAAAAGGGTGGATCTATACCGTCTATGGTGTTGGTGATTTGTCTAACACGAGAAGGAAGTGGACTCCAATTTTTGGGATGAAATACATCCACGACTAGCGGTGCTGGATGTGGCGGGGGGTCACCGTCTCCTACTGCTTTAAGGATGTGAAGTAGAGGGTATGGGCCGGTGGGGCAATAATGCCTCATTGATCACCCTCTCCATTTATCGATGCCAATGCTTTTACAGTGTCTTGCTCTTGCGATTAGTAACCTCCATTGCATTTCAGTTTGGGGCCTCATGCTCCGACGGAAAGCCCACCGTGCCTCATTTTGAACGAAGAAATACCTTAGAGTTGACAGGTTTTTCTCCCTATCACCGGTGAATAGGCGAATGCGCCTCTTATTACGATTATGGAAATGGAGCTTGCATGGAATGAGAGCACATGACGTCCCTTTTTTTTTTTTTTTCTGCCTTTGCTCCTTTTTTGTTTTTATGCTGATTTGGGCGGGACGGGGTCTCTTTTCTCTCCTGCGCGTGGGTTCGGGTGCTGATGCCCTGCTTGGATGGCCCTGGCGTGACGGTGGTAAAATTCCACTTCTTCTGCTTTATTTATGTACACACCTTTATGCGGCCTTTTTGCAGCAGCAGAAGCAGTTTGTTGTTTGCCTAGTGAAAAAGGTTCACAGTGTTGCGTCACACGCTGTCATCGGGAAGCCGCATTCCTAACGGCTCCACGGGTGGGGCAGGGCTCACCGGGCAGGCAGAAGATGGCATTGGCACCGTGTTAGATGGCGCAGGCCGCTACTGGGACAATTTTATGCATCAGGCGTGGAATCTCGTCAGGGACGAGCCTCCAGAGGAGGTGGAAGTTATGGAAATGCCACGGGAGAATGGAATCATGGGTGATCTGCAAGAAATGT